TACAGTGGCCATTATCGCACGGAAACATCCCGTCACAGCCTGGGAAAGATAAAGGTCAACGTCAGATTACCGCCTCATGACAATCCCTCTCGTCGGGTCACGTCCCTCGGTGGGCCCGGCTTCGGGAGCTTGTTTTTCTCGGTGATTAGGACGATTTGTTGTGAAGGCTGGCTTCCGGAGCTGTGTTCAATACTAATTCAGATAGCAAAACGCTAACAAACTACCTTTAGTGAGCAGTCTCATGAAGTTGCTTTTGTTCGTCGTTTATATAAGCTAGTAAATGTGTAAAAATATTTAGCTAAAGCTTTTCTGTGTGAGGGGATGATATGATTCCATGTTTTACCTCAATGACACACCCTGTGATGACAGGTCGTATTCCCCCATTTCACATTACTTGAAGCCGAGTGGTATACTTTTGTCTGGTTATCAATCAAATATCGCCAGGGGAGACGGGTAAGCCGCTTCCTTCTCGCGCAGTGACTTCTGCTAAAAGCCTGCCAAAGTCTCAGTAGGCCCGGGCGTCTTACCATCCATTCACGGCGAACTGCACGAAAATCCCAACGTGGAGAATACGTTATCCCAGCGTGATAGACTCCCAGCTTTAAGTGTATTTCCGTCTCCTATCTGATTTGTGCAGATTGTCACAAAAAGTTTTTCCAAAGTATGATTACGACGTTTGAGTATGGTTGTGATCAATCATGGCACAAGATTATTAATCACTGCATGTGGTGTGCCAAGTCCCAGTGATGATTGGTATTCCATAGCCAATGGTGTCGTCCTGTACGATTGCCAGTCATCACCTCTTTACGTCAATCAGCCCATCCCATGCTGATCATTTACATTCTGTGGGTTAATAAGGGTGGAACTTGGCACCTAGAGTCAGCATAAAACCGTCTCGGCATCGATTCCTAGCCTAACGTTCGTATCAGAGGACCCATGTAGCTGTCAGAAACACCCTTTACACATCATACGTGACTGACGAAATCCTTCGACTTTTGCATACAACTGCTGACACAACTTGTGCTCAAATTTACCGTCCAACAATGAATATCTCCCTAAGAAGAAGTTGCCGTCCGATATGTGTTTAGATAAAAGAAAATAAATGGCAAGGTAATAAAGCTAAGTGATACAAAACTGCAATCTTCAATCCCTGGGGCATAATTTGGCACGGCGAGAGCTCCGCTATCAATGGTGAGCCATATTTCTTCCTTGTCTGTGACAAATTCTAACAAGAAAATCCAGCTAACAGTAAAAGCTTAAGATAATCATAAAACACGTAAGACAGGCTGGAGGCATGAGGCGATAAATTCAAGTCCAGAAGGATCAAACTTTAAAGTAGATATCGCAATGATGAATTGGTACAAAATTTTGGTATATTTTCCCTACCAAAAGTAGTATTTATGATCCTGGTAGTATCACACCTTATCTTCCAATATTGGCGGGATCATATAGCCTCTATCTAAATGGAAATCAAAAACAAATACTTCATGTAATTGGAGGAGTGAGTATCCTCCCTGTTTTATCCTATCCCTTTCTTAACACATATGCTCCGCACCGTGTTCTCTCCCGTGATATTTGTATGCAGCGCAATGCTACCCAAACGGTTTGGGCGTTAATGCGGGGTCTCAACAAGCCCTGGCGAATCTTTGGGAGGCAATCAAAGGGTTTGCGCCATCGATTTTTCCTAGCGCACGCCGTAAACTGTGACCTAGGACTTGCTTGTGTGGTCCCATTGCGGATGAAGTTATTTTGACGCGAATGATTGATTGTTACACAGCGAAACACAATGTTTTTTGGACTCTTTCAGGACGTTTTCAATGCCTGTAACATGCATTGTGATTAGCCTGTAGCGCATAATGGAATGCTTTCCCTGACCTAATTCTCTCTTTTGAGCAACCCTCGGCTCTATATTTACCCAATTATTTCTTCGAAAGGAATCATGCCGACTGAATCCCAGAGGAAAGACGTCTCCGAGCAATCCATAATGCAGGGATCGATGTTCCTTATTGTCCAAGACACTGTGCCTCTCGGCCTAGAAAACCACCGCCTTGGAACAAATTTCGTGTTAAGAATCCAACAACTCGCGAGCACAGGCAACTGTATGTCGACTATGAGCTGATATTTCTCTGGTCATGACACTGCGGACTCGAGCACTAACGGTATGAGCTGCCTAATCACCTCCTGTGGTCATTAAGGATGCCGAATGGGCTCCAACAACACGTCTCTTCAATTTGGAATAAGCTAGCTCCAAATGACATTCATAGACATTCCTGTGATCTGGAGACCGTTCCTACGACTCAAAAGGGTGTTTGGACGTGAGGTCACAGATGTCAGGCTGGTTAGTTGAACATACAAGTAAAACTGCATGCATTCCATGCGTTTGCACGCGGCTGTAATTGCCAAACGTACCCGGCATTTTCCAGGTGTAATAATCCAACATGGCGGGCAATGCTTACGTCACAGTCACGTGAGTGCAAAAAATACACACCGCAAGCAAACGCAAACAACATTCGATAGTGAGAAACTTCTAAATCTGCAGTAAAATACATACTTTTCACTTCGTAAGAGAAAAAGAATCCGCTCCTTGCCCATCGACAGTTGGTTGAGTAGACGACATAGACTTTGTTTCCTGATGACGTCACCACTTCTGTCTTGGCCTGTTCGTAATAAGGGCAGTAGGAGTATATCCGCCATTTGTTTTCCCCGTTTGGCTCGTAGATCTGCAAAACATGAAACAAATATTTACTAAATTCTCAAGTTTGAATGTTTAAAACATTATTCATATAATTATGGAAAGCTTTAATCTTTAAAACTGTTCGATGAAGTGTTACAGGTATATGTCAACGAGAATATATTCCATAGTAGGGCACAAACCCTAATTGTACAATACTAATATATTGAAACTGAAATAATTGCATTTATTAATTTAATTCACAAAAGATGATATTTTAGTTTCTAAATTTCCCAACGAATGAATGCACTCACAGATCAACTCTAAAATTAAATGGTAATTAACATGCCAGATAATATTAGTAAACATCCAATTCATATGTTTTGACGAATATTTTAAACGATACATACGACGAAAAGTTATAAGTTAAAAAGTACTCCGGGCGCGGGGTGCTTTCGAGACGCACTCTGTCTCTTTTTCAAAGATCTTGTCTTGGAGTTCTCTTGCCGCGTCACTTGATGTTGGTTATGTGGGTTCGTTTACCATAAATTCTGTTATGTGTGTGTTTTCAAAAAAAATTTTATGTAACTTGAACCATGTAACATCAGCCACTAGGCTAAAGTATATCGAACCATCAACCATATATCAGCCCAGACCTAGAATTTTTATTATTACTTACCTCAAAGTTTTCCTCGCATCGCTTCTGCAGAGTTTCACACACATAGAACACATCCTGGTAGTCCGCAAACCTGACAATCTTCATCTGTATGTAGTTTTGTTCCGCCACCTACAAACCAGCAAATGCAATTTCACGCTAATCAAGCCTATCTTTTTCTCGTTAAAAACTAAACATTAAATTTTCAGTACTTTAGATGCAAGCCACAACTTCTCTTTTTTTTCAAATGATGGAATAGGTTGAATGTATGGATTCGGGGCTGGGAGTGTATGATTAATACACCGCAGGAAAGGCTCCGACATCTCGGCACCAAAATCATCTTCAGGCAACAGGCGGGTATGATCCATTCGCTTGATTTTGGAAATGTGCAAAAGGGCAATAATGTAAGCGCTACACTGGTCACTTGAAATTTCCAATGTCATTTGCCAAGCCTCAAGGACGCGGTGCGATTCAAACTTCAAAAAGAATATTGAAAAAGGCAGTCATAACCATATTTCTCTGTAGCAAGGAAGCTGCCAATTGTATAATTTTGATAAAGTTGAGGATGAGTGCCATTGTGTTTTTGATTGTGCATTATACAGAAAATAGATAATCTCTATACTTGTAGTATACCAGATACGTTTCCCAGTTTTAGACAATTACAAAATACAAAAAATTCGTATTCCTTATGACAAACCAATCACATGTTCATACATGCACACTTGCCTGAAGAAGCGAGAAGTTGAAAATGTATATTAGTATGTATAGTTTTCGTAAGGTATCACAGTACTGTAATTTACTCTAACTGCTTTATGCATGACCTGTGCTTTTGCTTTTGTAAGAGCACTAGCGTACAATAAATGTCTTTCATTAGTTCTTTGATATTCCTTAAACTATCCATTACTGAGTTATATAAGCCATGAAGCAGAACTATGAATACTGCATAATTCGACCTACCTGAAGGAAATATGGCGTGTACTCATTAATAATGTAAAACTCGTCATATATTACATTAATGTGGGTTCAACGTCTTATTAATGTAAAGTGCAAAAAAAACTATTTTACCTGTATGTCCAGACGATATTTGAAGTTGGTGTCGGTTAAGAGGGGAGGTTGACGAAAACTGCCACATGACTCCGTGACAACCGACGTCGTGTTGGCATCAAGGTAGGAGGACAGGTCTTTACAATCTGTAAAGACATTAGTGATAAACTTAGATTAACGTTAGTGATAAACGTACATTTTTTCCCTAGCTTTTACCAGTACAAATCTGAAGCTGTACGAGTGCAGCTATCAAATGTTAGAGTCCTTTATGTTAGAGTGTTAGAGTCCTTTATGTTTCAGCGAAGTCCAGTTTTGGCGTCACAAAAATAAAGTAAAGTAATGTAAAAATGTTAAAAAAACACACTAAAACGCCTACATGATCACTATTGAGATACAATATCTGATCCATAGCACTTACCACGGTCACTTTAGATCATGATGATTCCTACTGAGGCTATCTTGTTACTTCAAGACTGCCCAATTTTCAATCGCCATAATTGCAAGCGATTTTTTACACTTTATGAGAGAAAGAAGGTCTAATTCTGTTAACTTTCGTGACATCAAGTGCTAATGCCTTTTAATGCTATTTTCAGGATTCCAGAATAATCCATTTTAAGTATACAAGGCATTTGCCCGATAGAGCTGAAATGCATACAAAGATTTCAAGAAATTTCACAGACCACATCCCAGCGTATAAAACGCCTGTGTAATAAAGATACTGTTACTGATGTAGATATGCCAAACAGTCATAAACCACACTTTATGAGTCATTTACGAAGAGTAATAAAGTTTTGATCATCCATGCTCCTCATTCAATCATTTTGCTCATATATGCTGACTCTCCCGATTTTTGCTGATAAATGTTCACTTAAATCCATTGGAACTTTTTATTTGTTATTAGATACATAAGGCCGTGTAGATTTGCATATATGTATCACATGCATATGGGAATCCCTAAACTGATGCGAGCGTGCGAATAAAAACGTTTGATCAAAAAAGTTGCCTTCATTATGAAATCTTTGAGTAGAAGGTGTTATATAAGCAAATTTCGCTTTTTGACCAATACTCAATAAATATATGTGAATCAAAAAAATTATGAAATCTAGGTGGTCACGAAGGTTGAACAAATGACTTAACACACACACAGTTTATTTTGGTACGACTCTTCATTTCAATTCTTTCATATATTCCTTCTGTCTTTGGAATTGATTTTGGCATTCTACGACCTTAAATATCGCTTTCCAATATTTTTTTTTGCAATTTACAGCATATATTTTCCCATTTTGCAGCTGCTTTGTACGATGATTTACAGTATGGCGGGATTCTTTTTTGGAAACGAACTAAAATGTATGCGCCCGTGGATGTCATCCATTTAATCAAATCAACATGGCCTAAGTGATTACTAAGTAAACGTACTTTGTAAACACTAATAAACGTTTTGATATCCTGTCTGGAAAGTGTCTGAGTACAATTTGCTGTTTATCCTTACCAGTTTGTCTGTAGTCTGCCACAACTTGTCCACTACCGAGGTAGGAATATGCCACAACCAACATGTCCCCAGATGAGACAAAAGGCAAGGGCTTATTGGACGGCTCGCTGCCGCAAAACGGCCCGTACATAGGGGCGTTGGTGTTGTTTCCGTCGTAAAATGCGAAGCCCTCCAAAACGCAGTTGTTGGAGGGGTCACCTTGTAGGGTCATCTCTTTGACTTTGAAGAGGTAATGTTTTGTCCCTCGTGTCATGAGCAGTGCTGTGCAGAAGAAACCTGTAAACGACAAATATGCTTAAAGGTAAGACTTTGTTTATTTGTTTATTTCGTGAAAGGGAGAGCAAAACAGGTGCATACGCACCTTTACAAGTTGCCCTCCCCCATACAAAAACACATATACAACTTCAAAATGTACATGGTAAATAATAATAACATACAAAATACACAGAATAGACAATCACTATAGAAGGTTAAACTTAGTTCAAATATATCTAATAAGTAGTTATAATATATTGTGTTGAAACAAGACTTAGTGCGGTCTAGAAGCAATACAAGAACTACACCCACAAGAAGTGGTCCAAGTACATGGCAGGTCAAGACTGTAATGTGTGTTAAATCTGTTGTGGGTGGCCTTGAGTAGTTTATGTTTAAATGATATGACTTATTGATTATTCCAACACAAAAAGGAAATGTTGTCACATAGAGTCACTCTGGTCTTCGTCAGTAGACTGACCCATTGAGACTTGTCATGTGACTTCTCCAAAGTGTGCCGTCAACATTGGGTCAAAGGTACCTGTGTAAACGATGTTTCCGGCCCCGTCGCGGAACATAAGTTTTACCTTTAAACATGTTATAACTACTAACACAGATGAACGTTCATAATAACGACGAACACCATCAACTCGTAGCAAATGCAGCTGAACAGAATCCTCTTTGCCAGATGACTATTTTTGCACTACAATAAGTTTTCGCAGTATTTACGGCTGGTATCCCGTCAGAGGTCACTTTATGACAAGTTAAAATGACATAAATACAATTGGGAGCCAATATACAATGACAAAATAGCTGTATCCAATTGCTTTCAATGAGATGCACATCGCCATTGTTGTTGCTCTTAGAAAACTCGTTGAGATCAAGACTTGAGTTCATGTGCAACCAATCGTTTTGAGTTTACCTCAACAGGGCAACCATGACGCTATATTGAGGTTAATTTTCCAAGCGATGACAATTGATATTTACTTCCAGGTTCTCATTCTAACCTATGGTGTCAGGGTGTGGGAGAAGTTAGCCATGAGGCTATACGACCTTTGAAGTTAGCTAATAGAAATATGCACTATTTGACTTCCAGTGTTGTCGTAGTCAGTTTAGCACGTCAATGACTTTTAGAAATCATTACAGGAGGTTATTGAGGTTAATCAAAATTTCTACTTGTATCTTCTTAATGGCAATTTCAAGCAATACATTGGCTTTAGCTTGTATATTTCCACGCGAACATTTTGTATGATTATTGATGTTTTAACCTTATCTAAATACTGACAAAGCGCGTTTCTTTTAACCAATTATATAATCTGCGGACGATGCGTTTGAAAAGGTTTACAGATTGGAATTATTCATAACTTTTCTTTCAGTAACATAATTGGTAACGTTTATGAATGCAAAATGTGGAATATTCTGGGTCCATGTAAGCTACACACAGTCCGGAGACAAAGTGTTTGCCAACTTACTCGAGGTTACAAGTAGAAATATATATTCCATCTGTTGGAATATTGGGAATATTCACAAGACCCGTACATGCCCAATCAGTATTTAACAAAATTGGTAACTTTTTTGGATGCAAAATCTGGAATATTCTGGGTCCATATACGCTACTCAGAGTCTGGAGACAAAGTGTTTGCCAACCTACTCGAGGTTACAAGTAGAAATATATAT